AGCCATCCAGCAGTCCCATCAGTTTATGATAATTACATTCACATTTCTAACTCTTGTGAAATCTGAATCACCTCACTGTTAATAGTCTTGTGATGCTTTTTGTAATCGTGGAGTTTCTACATCATAAATTTGTTGCCACAACATTCAACATGTTTCAGCGGGTTTTGCTCAGACTTTTCAGGTACAGTCAGTCGTTAGGTCATTAAAAAACCGTCAACACACGAGTTTTCATTTGCAGCTAAATGGCTGAATGTTTCTAGAACCTGTCACTACGTCACAGGTTTCCAGTCACATGATAAAATAAAGACGGCGGTGAGTCACTCAGTTCTGCCTTGTCATGCTCCAGGTACACGTTGGAGTATTTTGGAGGGTGTGTCAGAGCTGTGAAAGTGTTTGTGTGTGTGTGTGTGTGTGTGTCTGCAGCTCTGGCACACCGAGAGCTCAGCAAGAAACGTGCTTTGTTGGTCGTCTCCTACGAGATGTGTTGATTAGATGATTATTGTTTCCACATGGTGTTTCCACAGTGTGAGCTTTCACATCTTGGCATGATAAGATTCTTCTGGCTAAGACTTTCAATTCTAGCTTCTTGAGAGTTTAATAAATAAACATTTATTATTCCCACAGCATAAATCTTTGTTCCTCTGGACTATGACATGTCCTCTAGCACCACCAAAAGTACTTTTTACTTTAACAAAATGTGAAACTTTGATGGATGCATATATTTGGACACTTTATTTTTTTGGCCAGATTTTTAGATCTGGCCAGATTCAGCCAGTTACTATACATATACGTGTGTGTGTGTGTATATATATATATATATATATAGTTAGTGTTTGATGCATTTTAGTTGAAATGATATTTCCTTTGCTCCTTGATTACCCAGACTCTTGAGAACAATTAAAAAAAGTAAAATTACATATTCTGATAGCAAGAGGTCAGACTCCACAGGGTTAAACTCTTTAGTAAATCACGTCTCCAGGCTATGCCAGCAGACCCCCATAATCTAATCTAACAGCAGTGTGGTCATATCTAGTTCTCAGTTATCTCACAGGCAGCTAGACACACCCACAAAAACCATAAAAAAGTAAATGAGATGCTGCTGTACAGTTCTCGCTTAAAATACATGAGTGTGTCTTTGCAGCAGGCTTTTCCCCACTTCCAGAGACAGCATGAATGCAGAAGTTGCTATGGTTACCTGCACTTGAATTAATTGACACGATTCAAATGGTAAAAGAAAGTGATACAATGGTAGCTGCTTTGTAGCCTACAGCAAAACAACATTTACAAAGACTATGAAAAAAAGCTAAACGCTGAGAGGCAACCAAACTTATCCAAACCAATCAGGCAGGTAGAAAAACATACTCAGACTGAGACTGGGGCTGGAGGTATTACTATATCACTAAAATTTGTTATATAGTACACAAAATATATTTCTTCTGTGAAGATAAACTACATCAGTGGCTTTTTCATATATGGATTAAGCCTAATCCTAAATGGAACCTGCAGTGAACTTCCATGTGTGGAAAATGAAACTGTAGCAGTTACTTACTAGCAGGAAGCTAGCTTCAAACATGTAGCTGTTGATATCTTGGTTTGCAGTAAGTTTATCAGTAGAAACATTCTAGTAAATCAGAAATGGTATAAGTGAACAAAACAGGACATGTTGCTCAGTCATTCGGGTCATCTGATAAAAACAAGGTCAGTGGTTTGATCCCCAAAGTTCTTCAGAAAAATCCATTAGAGAAAGACAGTGTGTGATAGTTAGAAAGTGCTTAAAGGCATATAATAAAGTGCTATCTGAATCCATGTGTGAGTCCTTGAAATTAAAATTTAGAAAGGTGCCAAATAAGTCTTCAATAAACTTAAAGAAGTCCAGTTGCTTTCTTTCCAAGCTCTTTACACTACTCCGGAAAGAGTCTCCTGTAAAAGCATGTCTCACTGAGAGATTTTAAAGAGGTCATTCGCCCTCTTTGGCTTTTGGACACTGGCAGCAGATGTTCGATCACCTTTATAATATTTCTCTAACCATAAAAAATGGGTAGCTGGGATAGGCTCCAGCCCCCCTGTGACCCTGATAAGCAGAAGAGAATGCATCCATGGATGAAAAATGCCTGTCAATATTTTCTTGGACAGAGATCTGAGAAATGCTACTCAGCTCTCTAAAAGTTTGATTACTTCATGTGTGATGAGTTGTATAGAACACATTTACACACACCAACTCTCAGACACCCCAGTCAGATGTCAGTGCCCCTTGTTCCTCTAGGACAACGTTATCAGTTCAGCCATATTTTCCGCTGATTTGTTTGATCGTAAAACAAAACTCTTTAGGGCTGCACCTTAATAGATGCCCAGCCTCTACTCTAGCCACACCCCACTAACCCAATTTATTGATGACCTCACCTCAGACACATTCACTGAAGACTTTATTAAATAAATATATAACTTATCCTTCAATGCAAAGCATGATGTTCGCTGTCATGCCAAATTCTTGTGCCTATTTCCAGGCAGCTTTGCAGTATTGGCGTATCACACCATACTCTGTGACTTAACATGAATGTGTGCGTCACCAGCCTTGTCTTATGGCCTAGATACCGTCAACATCAGTTAAAGCTGCTTTTGCCTGGATGAGTGATTAATGGCCAATCACGGGTTTTTTCTGGCAGTTTGTCATGCTCCTTAAAAATTTAGGTGATGACTTCCACCGCAGCAGGAAGTGTCCACCGGTGAATCATTGCTTTATCCTGGCCTGGCGTCTTACTATTAAAGACTATGCTAAAACCGATTTAGAGGCAGAGTAATATCAGAGTAACAGGCGTGGAGAGGAAATCAGATGAGTACTGACTGTTACATGAAGTGTCGAGTGACTGGTGTCGCGTCACCGCGGTCCCACAAATCTTTCTCCCTCTTATCGTGTCGAATTTTCTGCAGTAAAGCAGATGATTTGCAGCAGGTTGTTCAGTCACTGAGGATCAAAAAGCATTTTTATTAGTGTTTTTATTTGTTTAGGTGCTCTTTTGCATATTTTCTTTGGCATTTTTATTGTGTGCTAGCTGAGCTTTGTCACCCAGTCCTCACTCTGAAGCAGAATTATGTTGAAAGTCAGTCCCTTTGATTTCCTGTAATTTAATAGCAGTGGGTAAAAATATTTGTGGGGGCACAGAGCAGCAGAAACATAAGAAGCATAGCTGCAGCAGGAAGTGAAGTCTTGGGTGAGTGGCCTGAAGCAGAAGTAACAGTTGACCAGAGCTTTAGTCGAAGATGCAGCGTGGACGACTGCCGCGTTGTGTTTTTTTTTGTTGTTGTTTTTTTTTTCCCCAAGGGAGTAAACAGGAGTGAGGTGGCAGCAGCAGATGTGAGGTGTTAAACATTTGTCAGAGGGTCCAGTTAACTAGCCCTGAACTAAGGCTATGAAGCAGGTCCGCTTTTTCCTTCAACTCTCAGTGTTGCTTTCTGCTCCGCGGCCGTGTCTTTAAAGGGGGCTCAGCAGTGAGATTAATCTGTTTTCAAAGGTCATCTGTTTGGGTCATGCCTCCACACAGAACCACTGACCTCCCCTGACTAAAAGCCGTGGTCCGCCTGGAGAGGAATGTAGGTTGTCACCAGAGCTATTTTGGCAATGCGCAGTCCCTAATGATTGTGATCACAGAGCAGAGTTTGGAGCAGTTGCTTTGCTCTCCTTTTCCCAGCCAGCAAGTTTGATCATGCAGCTCCTGCTGGCGCTGCAGGGATTAGAGAGTTAAACGAATGGCACGTCGGCTCCGCTTGCATTTTGCGTCAAGGAGAAGCAGCACGGACCCTCTGTCAGAAAGCCTCAGCAGCCATGGTGAGGAAAGCGGAGTCAGTGTGTCAGCTCAAAGCCCCTCGGAGAGTCTGGCGCACAATTCTGTCCACTTGAAGGTGACTCCTCTGTCACCAGATTATGCTTATAATCAATACTCTTCAGTGTTCATACCCAGGGTTAACACCGGAGGATGTAATAAGAAGAGAATTCTACAGATCTCACTCCAGCCCTGTGGAAAGCTCAGCGGAGAGGTGGATGGCAGCGTAGAGGATGGAGAACCAGGAGCTGGTGAAGGAGGAGGTGCGTGTGCGGGTTCTGACGGGGGTTCGTGCAGCAGCAGCATGGCCAGCGATGGCGGCTACTGTAGCAGTAACAGCATCTTCGAGCCAGAGGCACCAGAAAAGCATAAGACCACCCAAGAGAGGAGTCTACACTGCTGCAAGTCCAAGGTCCCCCTGAGGCGGTGCTCCTCCTTAGTTATATTCCCAAAGAGCCCCTGCAGCACCCCACCTGCTTCCCCAGTAAGTCCAGTGGCTTTTCCTGCGCTCCCTATAGGGAAGGGCTCTAATCAGTCATCTCTTCAGACTTCTGTTAATGGATACTCACTGGCAGACGAGGAAGTGACTTCCAAAGGGTCCACCAACACGGCAGTAAGCGGCCATCGCTTCCCAAAAGAAAGCTGTTCGGCTGAGTTCAGGGACACCAAACACATGGTGCAGTTTAATATTCCCTTACAGGACGAACCAAAATCTAAAACAGAGGACATGAGCAAAATAAAGGAAGTGTCATCGTCTCTAGACAGATCAAATCGTCACTCCAGCAGCCTGTTGCTGCGCTTTGCCCACCAGAAACCAATGATATCAGGAAAAGGAGCCACAACAACAGCTACAGTCAATGTGGAATATCCCGAGGCTCATTACCCAGCAGAGCACCCAGAGGGTGATCGCGACTGCCACAAGAAACTTTATCGTAGTACCTCTGCTTGTTTGTTCTCCTCAACTAAACCTTCTGAGAAAAACCTGAAAGCTTGTTCATCAGGAAAAGGCCACCAGGAAAAACCCTGTCATCACGCCATACAGAGGAGCTTTTCCCTCGAGGTGCCTTACGCCAACACTGGAATTTCATGTCACGTTTCGAATCCCAAACTCAGCAGCCCCTGCTCTCCACATGTGCACATTCATTTGTCTCCTTGCTGCCCGGCTAAGTTGCCTACCTCTCTTCCTGATATAAACACAGGCAACAAATGGAATAATACACCCATAAGCTCAGGTCAATGTGCCGAGGTAAGTTTCTTAAATGGAAGGTCCCAGGCCTTATACCTCATAGTGTACAGAGAGGATAACAGCTGTCAAATAAGCATTTTTTTTTTAAGTTTATGTGACACAGCAAGGCTCAGGAAAACACGTTAAGGTAAAGAACAAAGTGGATTCACTGAAATGTTGTTAAACTGGTTCCAGGAGATTCCACATGCACTGACTTTAACTGCCATGTACACGGGACTAAAATAACAGCTGGACTGTGTAAAGTAATGCAAATAACAACTATATTTTATATTGACTTATATTGGCTTAACTTTCCCTTGCATAAAGTTCAACATTCAAATAGTTCTGTGTATTTTATGTCTATATAGATATACAGATATACAGCTCTGCCATTCACATTCTTAAAACTCAGTTTACTGCGGGTCAAGAAAGAGTGAGGTTCAGTAACTGAGAAGATCGCTACAGCTAAGTCATGCAATTAACAAGCCCAATGTGGACAAACATTCAAAGGTATTCGGTTGCATTACAGTAAATCCATCTGCTTATTAGTTTCCCAGAAATCAGTGAATAAGAGGGAAAGGTTCCCTTTCAACCTGTTTGTGTGTCTGTCAGTGTGTGAACTCATCTTTTGAATAGTTTCCTTTTTTATTATTCTGTTAGCACTATGAGTAATTGACCTAAGTATTTACCCAGGCTAATTATAGCAGTGGGAAAAGTGGTGCCCCTTGCTGATATAAATAAAGTGCCTCTGAAATATTCTGCCTGACTCCAGATAGTCTGCTGGTGTGTAGCACTGATTCAAATTTAACTGCATGATACTAGAGCGCTGCGCAGTCATACCAGCCATCTGTGGACGTGCATGTGTGTGGTGCTAATGTAATGTAGGCGGAATGAAAGTGTGAGCCTTTCCCAGTAAACTGGTGGTGTGTTGCTTTCCTTGGTGCCACTGCCAGCCAGTGTTTGTGAAATATCAAGTGTCAGTCTCCACCCCTACCCCCCTCCATTTAGCAGAATGTCAAGTAGGACGGCTTCCTCCACTAATTAGTCAGTCCATTTATTTTTAAAATAGTTATGTTTCCTTAGGTAAATCTCAGTTATACTTTCACTCTAGAAGGCCCAAAACAGGCTTCATGCCTAACTATAAATAATAAACATGGAAAAACTTGTAAATTATCTTTAAAAATAAAAATAAAAAATTTGACTCTTAAAAAAAATTGCTAATAAAAGAAAAAAAAATTGAGAAAGTTGTTAATTTGGAAAAATTGTTTCACAACTTGCCAATAAGGCTTTGATGGATGTGTTTAATGAGTCTGTAGACAAGACTGTGAGTCAACTGCTTTCTGCAGAACTTTTTGAGTCAAAAAGTTCTGTGTTTTAATTGTAATACCTGCACTGATTTTCTTACTTCTTCCCTCTGACATATGTTCTCCATATAATAATAAAAAAAAATGCACTAACACTGACACCAAAAAAAAAAACTAGACTAAAACTACACATTTTCATACAATAAAAACTGAACTGCGTCATATACATTTAGTCTCACAAGGTGAATGTGGTTAAAACTAAACTGAAACTAGCTGTAAAAAACATTTAGTTAACTGACTTATAAATAACAACTACACGTCAGAAGAAGGCAAACGCTAACTAAAACAATATTGTCCCCAATCCAGTTTCTTAAGAGCTTAGGCCTCAGTCACACAGGCCTAGAGACTGCTTCTATTGAAAAATGTGTAGTCCCAGACTAGTTGGCAAATGGTTACTGGTGTCAAAGAGGTTGCTGCACTGAAAACCTCATTTTGATTTCCTTGGTCGCTAGCGGATTTCTTTGAAAAAGTAAAAGTTCTGCTTAATTGTACAACCAGCATGTTTCAAAATGCACTTTTATTTTGAAGGTGAATGATCTCTATTTCTAGTTTGCATCATGCATTTATACCCACCCCTCAGTGAGTAGTTGGCGGGTGTTTGCAGGTGAGTCAGCGTCTTCAGTGCAAAAAACAGGTGGCCAAACAGTTTTTGGTTGTGCAGTTTCACCGAGAAACCTGCTAGAAACCTCCAGCACCCATTCGCCAAATAGTCGGGGTTGTGGTTGCCAGGAAGACATAGACTGGTTTCTAGACCTGTGCGACTGGAGTGTCATTTAACCGGGGTTGTGGGGGTTCTTTTTTTTTTTCAATATTTATATAGTGCCAAATCACAGCAACAGTTGCCTCGAGGTGCTTATTATATTGTGGAGTAAAGACCCTACAGTAATACAGAGAAAACCCCAACAATCAAACGATCATCTATAAGAAAGCACTTGGCAACAATGGTACGGAAAAACTCCCTTTTAACAAGAAGAAACCTCTGGTAGAACCAGGCTCAGCCATCTGCATGATCCGTTGGGGGTGAGGGGAGGGAGAGAGGACAAAAGACACAATGTGGAAGAAAACCAGAGATAAATAATAACTAATAATTAAATGCAGAGAGGTGTGTAAACACAGTTAGTGAAAAAAGGGTCAGAGAAAAAGAAACACTCATGGGAAGCACCCAGCGAGGACCTGGTTCCAAAGAAGAGAGACCTGAAAGCTGAAGGCTTCTACTTTTAAATACTCTTGGGACCACAAGAAAGCCTGTGGTCTGAGAGCGAAGTTGTTGGGGTGATATGGTACTATGAGGTCTTAAAGATAAGATGGGGCCTAGTTATTCAAGACCTTGTAAATAAAGTGAAAACAAAAACTGAACTAATTAAAATGCAAAACCACAGTAACTATAAGTTCTTCTTGAAAGTCTTTTGTATTACACGCTTTTGTTTTTATTGTCATGTCCACCTACGCTGTGAGTCGTGCTAATGGTTATCTAAGATCTTGTGCATCATAATCTTAGGTAACTATAGGAAAAAGATGCGACAATAATAAAACCCATACAGTTTGTGGATAATCCTCCCACATCTGTAGTGGAAATGTTTAAAAACAGTTACAGATTTTATTGCCCAAACGTGTATAAATTTGTACTTTGTACTTCCTTTTATAGCCACTTCAAAAAAATAGGTCACCTGAGTACTAACAGACCAGCACTGCTAACCAACATATGTACTCCAAAAATACAAACATATAACTGTTGCAGACTTAATAATATTGCAATATGACAAATTAGCATCTGTCTATTTCTGGACCTTTTTTTTAAAATATTTTTAGAATTTGTTTTTCTCAGCTGCACGTGGACAATCTGTCATGTTTCGGCTGTGTCCAGGCAGGAGAAGGACCCAAACGCAAAACCCACGACAACGAAATTAAACTCAAAAAGCTGCTTTATTGCAGGATGGCATGGAAAACTAAACTGGGACATGGGTAAACTAAAACGCAAGGAAACACAGCCATGAGGGAGACTACGACACTGACAAAGAGAAACACAGGGCTTAAATACACAGAGGGATAACGAGGGAATGAGACACAGAAGGAGAGCACAGCTGGGAGTAATCAGGCTGGACGAGACAAGGGAAGCAAAACTAGAAACACTCACATGAGACATGGACCTTCAAAGCAAAACAGGAAACACACTGACTGAACTCAAAACATGTAAACTTAACAGCAACTGAGACAGAACATACGGAGCTGAAACATGGGACAGAAAGGCAAAGTAGACACAACATGAACATAACGACGCCCACAGGGAAAGAGCAAAACAGACCACCGAAGCATAGGACCTCTTTCAAAATAAAATAGGAAACAATGAAACACTGACATGACTGCATGGACTTGACAACATAAGAAACAGACATGAAACACATGAAGGATAAGGGAGACTTAACGCAAGGGTTGAAAACACAAGGGGAATATAATAAGCAAATGAACATAGAAATCTAATGAGCTTAAACATGCACTATAAACATCAAAATGAACTAAAACTCAAAACGCTGGGTCATAAGACCCAGGATCGTGACACAATCACCTAAAACCTTTAAATACTGCTCCAGAAACAAAGAGAACCTGTGTGTGACTGAACATGTCGGTTCATATCAGTGGTGTAGTGTTTGAAAACTTCCTTTGCTCTGGTTAGCCGCACTCCCAAAGTCACCCGATGAGTCATCACCATAGTTAATGAATAACCAGGTATGAATGTGTTGCACAACAAGGTGAAGACATGAATCAAATGAATGTTAACAATAATTTTATATAGCGAAATAACAAGCATTTACAGTTTCATAGGGCATTAAACATTTTAGGGGTATCTCACTACACAAACAAGTGGGTTTGTGGAGCTGCTGAGTTAACATGCAAAATAACTAATGTGTATTTAGAGAGATAGCCCAGCAAAGTGCCCTTTAACCCCATATGATTTATACAAAGCCCAACTTCTGTGCTTTAAAAAGTTTACAGACTGGGTTACAGCCAGTAGTTGGGAAATATTTGACATCATTCTTCATCCTGTAGTTAAATAATTTGTTTGCATATTCCCCAAGAGCTTAACAAATGACATCTAGGCTGTCAGACATAATGTGTTTTAACTTGCCTTAACTTTGTCATGGCAATGAAGTGCTGTTTTGACACCTGTGTCAGCTTTCAGTTCAGTGTCCATCATCACCACGCTACCACCGCCACATTAGCTCCTCAGAAGCTTATTTTTCACAAGCTGCTGCCCACCTGTCAAAAGCAGCTTTTCGTTGCAGAGCCAAGATGGATATCGCTGAGGCTACCAACATGTGTCTGTAGCTGTTTGCCGCAACCTCATGCAGTCTGTGGTCAGCACTGCTTAATGCCATATGCTAAACTTGAGCTGCATTCAGTGTCACACGAGCCTGCAGGGATGCTCTGAATGGACATTTATCTGTCGTTATCATTTTATCTTGGGCAGTTTTTTTTCACGTGTCCGTAGCATGCATTTCCCCTTTGTTATCTTTAGCCTCACCTTACCCAGGAAGCTCTGATTTCACTCCATCATCTGTTCGCTACTGATATAGACGTGACCTACTCAACTTCAAACCGTTAGCTTTAATTGTTTATGCACTACGGTTTTTTGGCTGAGTTAAATATTTATTTGGCAGAGAGATCAGTGGATTTGATCAGCTGATGTAAACACAACACCAAAATGATCTGGACATTCTGGAGATTGTGTTTCTGGGTAAAACCAATTTATCCTTAGCTAGCTTTTAGTAATAACCGCTTGCACAGGATGCTAAGAAAAGATGGATTCAGCTGCAATATATAGTGTAAGTTCTCAGTTTATTAAATGAGATAACACCAATTGAGTAAAGCTGTAATATATATAGCCAGATGGAGCCATAGCCTATATTAAAAAAAGATGTTTGGTTTTGGTGCCCACATTTTAACTATATGTTCAATTTTTGAAGTCAGACAGACACCACACCGTGTCTTTGTCCTGACTTCCTCCTCTCACCCCAACCGGTCACGGCAGATATGCGCTCCTGCCTGACCTAGTTCTGCTGGAGGAGTATTCCTGTCAAAAGAGATTTTTTCCTTTCCACTGTCACTAAAGCGCTTGCTCATAGGGGGTTATATGATTGTTGACGTTCTTTACCTTACAATATAAAGCAACTTGAGGTGACTACTGTTGTGATTTGGCGTTATATAAATATAACTGAAATTGAATTAAATTAAACCTCCTATTGAGTGCATTACACAAATAAAAAAATATTTCAATCACCAAAATTGGAGCACAGATATCTTAAATGAGCTGTTAGTACAACTAATTGGAAAGGAAGCTTTAATATTTCTCTCAATATAGTACTCCTTTAAAAAAAATAATTAATAAAGGGAGAAACTATCCATAAGTACCAATGTCTTTGTTTTCAGCGATGCTGTAAACAGTTTCTATAGCTAAAATTGGGGATTTTAATATGAGAGTCTGTGTGGATTGACTTGCTTCTGGATTTTCACTCCAAGAACTGTGATTTTTAGTACTTCTGCTTTTAACATTGCAATCCAAGAGTCTGCTGTTTGGAAGTAATCTATTTAAGTTAAGAGCATCTCTCAATGTTTTATAAGCGCAATGTCTCCATTAAAAAGAAATGAAACATTTCTTTATCCAATTTTTAATCTTACTTTTATTCATCAAAAAGAGCTCTATGAGTTATTTATGTGAGCCCTGTATGTCTTATACTATGATTTACTAATTAAATAGGATTCTTTAGCAGATTTCTAATACAAAAAGGAGAGAAATGTGGAGGGAGCCACTTTTATGAGTAAGTCATAGTATCAGATAGACAATGCTAATAATAGTTTTTAATTATTTTCCATATGGGTACCCTCTGTTAATATAAACTACTGTAAACAATAAAGACAGTGTTCTGTATACAGCCACAGCTGCTCTGTTTACTGTATGTTAAATCTCCAGTCATTCAGTGTTGTAAACAAACTCAAAATAAATACAATTATTTCTGACTTCCGTAATATGGTGGAGGGTAAATAAACACAGAGGACTGACAGTGCGTTTAACCTTAGTATTCTTAGAAGACCTCATGAAGGAAATACTGTGCAAAGCAGGCGGTTTCTTAATGGAAATGCAAAGCCTGCCAGTATAATAGCAACGATAACAAGTGTGCTTGTCTTAATACCGCTTGCATAAAACAGAGACTGCTGTTTTTAGGAAGGTTCATTGTAATTTTGGAAAAGCTTGCTCAGAGTTTATTTTAATCTGGATTTATGCTTTTCTCAGTTGCTCTATTAGAAGTGCAAGGGCACGATGAAGGAGGCCTCCATCTAAATTTGTTCACATAAACACTTTGTACCCCTGTTAGACAGTTTGACCTGCCATGGGTGTTAATTTTGGTCACACATGCTGACTCCCACTGTGCTTGGCCTCAGCCTTCTGCTTTCGAGACCTTAACAGCTCCAATAAAGGCATGCAGTGAATGTGTGAAGAGTTCAAAGCAAAGACGGTTCATCTGGCAAATGCTACATTATTTTGATCCCAGTCTCTGTTGGAATAACACAGAGCAGCCATTCATCGTCGGCTGATAAACACATTCCTGCCTGCGCAACATGCTAAATATACACGGAAATGGAGCCAGTTAAATGACTCTCATTGTTTGAAGTAGGAAAATAGTGCAGCGGGAAACGTTTTCTGTTAAATCTACAATTAAAGACGGTTTGTTAAAGGGAGTGTCTTGTGAAAAAATCGGGTGAGAGGAAATATTTCTAGCTCTTACTGATGATTGAGATAAAAGAGAGAGATGTACAACCTTGAAGTCAATGCAGATAACACAGACATACTTCTTTAGAGATATTAAAGTGATTCTCTGTACTCTAAATCAGTTGTTTTTAAATACTTTTTCTGCCCAAGGCACACTAAAGGTCCTGCAAAACTCTTAAGCCACACCCAGGTTTTTTGTTTGTGTTTTTTTTTTTTTTTTT